TTGCTCCAAGGGCACCAAAGTTATAACCTTGGAAATCCACAGGGGCAGCTCATGCGACTTTGTCCTATAGGATCACTACGAGTCAACGTTGCCTCGATGGCAGTGGGTTTTTTCCTTTCTGTAATCTTCATGGAAATAAGACATCATTCTCCCTCAGAATGGCTGCTGGATTCAACTGCTGACCTTTAAGTTGCCAGCCAAGCACTTAGACACTGCATGACCAGGGCCCCTTCCCAGAGGCAAGGGCGTTTTAAACCCTTTGAACCTCAGCACAAACACCCCTTCCTCGGGGAGGCCCTGTGAGCGAGTCCCTGCTGCGTGATTAAGTCCTTCCCCACACTATTCCCACCAGGGCCTTCCATGGTTGTGTATTTGCACTGTTCTCTTCGTAAAGTTAAGGAGACCTGGTGGTGTAGTGGTTACATGTTGGGCTGTAAGGTTAGTTGTTCGAAACCACCAACTGCTCCAAGGGAGAAAGATGGGGCTTTCAACTCCTGTGAAGAGTGAGTCTTGGAAACCCACAAGGGCACTTCCACCCTCTCCTAGAGGGTCACAATGAATCTGTACCAACTCGCTGACAGTGAGTTTTGTGCCACTATTTTTCTCACTGCTTCTGTGGGTTGCTGGGCATGCACTCGCTTGGCTGAAAGGGTGAATGTTCAAGAGCACCCAGAGGCACTGCAGGAGCCAGGTCTGGAAGCCCACTTCCAGCCAGCAGCCATTGAAAGCCCTGTGGGGCACAGACTCAGTGGCAGCTGGTTTCTGTGGTTTGATGTGGCTAGTGTCCCTTTGTGGGTTCCCCTTGTCCACTGGAAGACTGGACGGGAACCTGGTGCACAGCACAAAACCAAACTCGATGCTGACGCATAGTGGCCCTCTAGAGCAGGGTGGAATTGCCTCTGTGAGTTTCTGAGGCGGACGTAGGAAGCCCGGCGGTTTAGGACTTCAGACCTTGAGGTTAGTGGGTTCCCTACCACAGGGCAGATGCTCAGTTAAGTAGTTGTGAAGTAATTGAGTGAGCAAACAGCTCCAACAGGCAACAGGGTGGGGACGTTGGAGAGAACAAGAGACTCCAGGACAACAGCCGGTGGGTGGCGGGTGCTGGAAACAGCTGGGGAGTCAAATCCCACCAGGAAGGCATCGCCGCTCTGTGCATTACTTTTGGTCCCTGCCCCCTTACAGGTGACGACATTGTGGTCCAGAGATAGCCAAGGACTTGCTCAATCAAGGTCATGTAGGTGGGGGTAAGACTTGGATGCTCAACGGCCAGTGGGCTCCAGACCCTGCATGGCTTTTGGGGGTCCTGGGCAAGATGAGGGGATGGTCCTTCTGCTCAGTGTGGCCTGCAGGCAGGTGACTGTCAGAGGGAGGATTCTGGCCCCCTGATCACCTGGTGCCCCCTGCTCGCCTGGTGCTGGCTGCCCCTGCGAGTGGAACCTGGCTTCAAATGGGGAGCCAGCAGACTCAAGAGCCCTTAGCCTTGGGTGGGAATCCAAGCTCTGCTGCTCACCGGCTGCGTGAGTCCAGGGCAGCTGCTTTGACGTGCTGGGCTACGGCTCCTTTGGCAGTGAGCAAGACAAACACAGGCAGCGGGAGATGGTGAAGGTTCCTGAGTGTGCAGAGGGCCAGGGCCAGGGCGGTGCAGGGAGAGGGACAGAGAAGAGGGGGCTCGGGGTAGCTGGCAGGTGATTGAGGGCTCTCCCTTGGGCTCCCCTGCCTCCACCTCCTCACAGACCCAGGTTAAGCGCTGTGCCCCAGCTAACGAAGGGCATCTCATTAATGCCAGGCAGCAGCTCATTAAAACTGCAAGCTGTGCGTCGGTGGCTGATGGAGGTCAAGGTTCTTTTCACGGGAGCTAGTCTCTGGGACTGTGTGGTGCTAGGCTCGCACATGAGATGGAGGGGACTTATTTGTAGGCTGGCAGCAGTGGGACCCCAAGTGCCCCAGAGCGCCCGGCGTCCCCCCCACCCTTCCCTGGGGTCTTGGCATTCTCTGTCCTCGGGGGCAGGGACATTGCTGCCGGGTGTGAAGCAGATCTGTCACTGAGTGGGGAGCTGAGGACCAGGATGGGTAGTTTAAGGAGAAAAAGGCTTGTTCAGAAGGCCGGCCAGAGAGAGCAGCCACAGAGGAGGTGGGGTGCTGCCAGATGGGGGCATTCCCTCCCCACTACACCCTAGGGTGCTCACCTATAATATGGGACCACAACCAGGAAGGCCAAGAGAGTGTACAAAGTAGCCATGACCCTGGGCTCCCACTCCCTTGTTTCTGGCTAGTCAACCTACTGGTCAACGGCCCCCCAAGTTCACCAGATGGAGGCCAAGGAAGGGGAGTGGGCCGACTGAGGGTTCCTGGACCCTGGGGCAGGATGAGGCGGCATGCAAACCATGCAAATGACCCCACCTCTCCATCAAAAGGAGGTTATTCAGGTCCCAGGACAAGGAAGGACAGACAGCCTTCCTTTTTCAAAGCACCTAGGGGCGCCTTATCCATTGCTGGCTCCCTCCCCTCCCCCATCTGAGTCTGGAGCCCAGGGGCAGAGGGCCCACAGCAGGGTTGCCCCAGGCCTTGGGTCAGAGACCAGTGTCTGCACGTGGCACCCAGACCCCACCCTCCCTTATGCAGGGCCCAGGCATCACACTGGGTGGCCTCAGCAGGTCCCCACATGTAAATGGACGAGCAGCGAGGAGCGACTTGTGCCAGTTCCAGGAGCGTGAGGCTTGGCAGTGCTGTCGGACAGGCCCCCTCAGAAAGCTGGGCGAGGTATGGCAGCCACTCAGTGTGGTGCCCACTGTTCCCGCCTGGCACATA